ATACGTAATCCTGAGTTCTTTTTTCCCTAATGATGGATACTTTAGTGCGCTTCAGCATCGGCTCCTGGGAACATCGACCCCACCGATGATCATGTTGATGACGTGCTGAGGTTCCTCATGTTCGGTCTGTTTACCAGAATCTCTGTTCCTAAAGTGGTTCTTGGCTCGGTCGCTTAGGAACTCTTGGAGATGCCCGTTATTGAATAGCCGGGCTACTTTCTCTCTCAATTTTCGGCAATTTTCTGTCATGTAATCGTGAGTGCCATGATATTTGCACATGAGATTAGGATCCCTTTGGGCTGGATCGGATTATAAAGTTCGAGGCCATTTGGTGTCTTTGATACATCTAATGACGGATACGATGGCGGCATCATCGATGTTAAGTTGTACTCCGATAGTCTTGGTGCTTCTTTCGGCCCGATGGGCCTGTCAAAACTATTTTTGCTAATGAGTCCCCGGTTATTTTGACCTAGGTCGCTTCTTCTTTCACTTTTCACGGGGTTTCGCCTAGATCTACCACCTCTTCGGTCTCCATTGGATGGCTGATACCGATCCCTGTTCAATCTTAGCTCACGATCAATGTCTCTCCTGACTCTGTCAACTAATCTGACGGGATAAACGGACCCGGAAAGGGCCCCGAGTTGATCGTCTTCAACCCTGATTTTTGATTGATACCGATTATGCACGTCGGCCCAGGTGACAGCCAGATACTCCACTAGATTTTGCTTCAACTGCTGTGTAGCCAACGAGCTTCGAGCATTGAGTCCTTAGGTGAAGGCTTGGACGACCCAATCATCCGCGATCGGAGGCAAGTCCATCCGTTCCATTTGAAATCGGGACACGAATTCCCTGAGGTTATCGTTATCCCTCTGCTTCACTTTGAAAAGGTTTGACTTCCTGGTCTCGACCTTTGATAGCCCTAGCGTGTGCTTTTATGAATGAAACTGCAAGCATAGCAAACGAGTCTATAGAATTAGGAGGTAGGTTGTGATACCATATTATAGCTCCCTTGGATAGAGTTTTCCCAAACTTTTTCAGCACGATGGATTCAATCTCATCATCTTCCAAGTCGTTCCTTTTGATGGCGCATGTATAGGAGGTCACATGCTCATTTGGGTCAGTCGTTCAGTTATACTTAGGAATTTCGGGCATGCAAAATTTTTTCAGGATCGGCTTCGGTGCTGCGCTCGGAGGAAAAGATTTTTGAACAAACTTCTTGGAATCTAGGACCTTCAATATCGGAGCCACTCCTGGGATTTGGTCGACCCTGGAATTGTAGGTTTTCACCTTTTTGTCAATGGCTTCGATTTTCTTCTCCCCTGATTCTATCCACTTTGTCAATTCCTCGAGCATTTTTATGATCTTGGGGTTCGTTCCCGATTCATTTTCATTCGGTCACTCCGTGATCGGTTCATTTCTGCGGATGACTTCCCGGGACGGCTCAGGCTCAAATCTGCTCGGCGCTCGGCTTTGGTTTTGCAATTGGGCTATTGCCGCCTGTTGAGCCTGTAATATTCCAAAGATCACTCTCAAGTTGATCCTATCATTTTCACCATTGTGCGTATTCTGGGTAATTGATCGGACTTCCCTGCGTACGCTATTCTAGGGATCGGTAGGAAAATTTTTGTTGATGGCCACATGCGAACTGGCGTCGATGGGATCCTCCACTGGGACTCCGCCGAGATCGACCGGGGGCACCTCGTTATCGGTGCAGCATTGTTGTTTTCTCCATGGTGGCTAGACTCCGTATCTGTATTTAGAGGGGCAGACTGTGGGTTTGACATTTTGATTTTAACCTGGAATCAAAGACACTTCAAAGAACAAGCGTAAAATAGGGTGTGTTACAAGAATTTGTATCAAATTGCCGTTATTATCCTTAGCCCCATGGTAGGCGCCAAACTGTTTACCCTCAAAATCGGATGACAATTAAATTTGTAAGTGGTTTTAAGGATACGCGGATTTATTTGACACAAAGCAGTAAATAAAGACAAATTAAATTAAACAAGGATGAAGCAAGCTCAAACTACACGAGGAAGATGATTTAAGCCTTAATGAAATATTTTCCCTCGATCCGGGCTAGTAACAACAAGCACTGACGAACGGAAGCACAAGAGCTAATAACAGAAAAAATAATGATATATTTTCTTGGAATGCGTGTTACAATGTGGTCTCAAATGAACTGTTAGACCCCCTTTATATAGTAGGGGAGTCCTATTTTAGGTACAACTCTATAAAAGGTAAAACATCTTCTGATTTGCTGATTGTCGGTTCCTTATCGATACGTGCCGAGATTTCCGCCGTAACATTCAGCCGGTCACGAATATTTTGGCCTTCTGGTGGCTATGCTGGATCGTCTGACAATATTCTTCGAAGTCGTTCGAGGCTAGGATCGATTCCGGGATTGCGTCTTCGATATCCTCGAAGGCAGGCATCATGCCCCCGGGTTCCAACCCAGTGGGACTTAGGCTCGGTTTCGGTCCTTTATTGCCATATCTCGAGCCTGGCTTATCTTGTCGGAGGTTAAAATATACCATAAGCTCGATTTTACCCGTATACAATGCATAAGCTTTCGGGAAGAAAATTTCAACGATGTCATTCTACAATTTAGACGGTTGCTTCTAGTGATACCTAATTGCACTTGTTTATGTACTTACTTATGTATTTCTAATGCTTGTTACAAGATCTTTGGCACCTTTCACCTAAAAGTTTAACATAAGGAAGACTTAACATAATGTGTAGTGTAACATCTTAGCATCATCTGCAATGGTTTCTCTCTTTTTGTTGTTTCCTACTGGTATTGGTCCCTACATTGGGGCTCTGACTTATCGGTAGCTACGTCACGTAATGCTCATTAAAGGAAAATATATTCCCTATCAATATTTTGTCCACCTCAATGCTCGAATACGAAACCTCTAATTAAGAAAGAATGAATCCTATCCATATTACTAGTTACCACAACCTTCGACGGTATAATGGTCTCTCTCCACACAAATATTAGAGCAAGCAACCCATCCTTTGAGTTTTGACCAGCCTACAGATTTCATGTCCTAGATTAAACTCAATAGTAAAGGATAAAAGAGTAGTCTACAACTTCAAAAGGAATATCATATGATTAAGAGATCACATGAATTATAGTGTTACAACTTACAAGTTTGAACAGCCTAGCTAGCTGAACATACATTCCCTAGTGATCTCCTATTAACTGTTGGGAAAGAAAGCAAGAAATGCGCATACTTCTAGAAGTATTTTACAAATTAAATTAACGATATTTATTCCTATTAATCGCTTATATATGAACCTAGTTAACCCATTAAAAACTTTTTTACCAATTTGCACATATTATCAAGAAAGTTTCAAGTATTTGTAAGGTCTAAGTACTAGCGTTGTCGATTAAAACTCCAAACCATACAAAATACAATCTTAACATTTCAAATTGAGTACTATATTTGCATCTAACTGATAATCCAATCTTAGTACATAAAACTCTACTGTGCAATGTGAATACCGGCTCCTCTTGACATATTTGATTCAAACCTTATTTTTTAATTTCCTTCCATCCAAATTAGATGTCTTATCATTTTTGATAATTAGAGTTCAATATAATTTATCTCATAAAAAAATGTACAGTCTTTTGCCATAATAAAATTTCACTTTGCATTTGTTTGACAACGATGAATTCTTCCAAATGCATCATATTCATGTCATATTATTATAAAGTCATGCCGTGTCAAATAACGACTTATAATAGGATCATAAGGAATTGAAATTGGATCAACCCATAAGAAAGCTTACGATTTTGGGGATTTGTGGCTGTACCCTATATTTGTGCCACCTTTTAACTTGTATCATATTTTTAAAAGTTATTGATTTGGTAGCCGGCTGACAAAAAATCCGTAATAATATGACAATTATACCCTTGATAAAAAATATAAAACCTGCATCACGCATTAATCGCGTACTCTGCAACATCATTCGTGAAAAAAAAAATCTCATCCTCTCCTCTCAACAGCTTTATCAAAAAATCAGAAACTTGAACCAGATTCATCTTCAGAATCACACTTGCATGAAGTTATTTGACGGATATAGCATGAAGTTTTCACTTATAGATGTTCAAAAACTTTTCAAAACTTTAAATTTAATGCGTGAAGGATATAGAAAAAAGTTATTTTCACGTTGAAGTCTGAAGTTTTAATCAAATACAAGCTAAAACTTCATGCTAATGTAGCATGAAGTTGTTTCACGCTGAAGCTAAAACTTCATGCTAATATAGCATGGAGTTGTTTCACGTTGAAACTAAAACTTCATGCTAATATAGCATGAAATTGTTTCACATTGAAGCTAAAAGTTCATGCTAATTAGGGGTGGGCATTCGGTATTTCGGTTCGGTATTAGGAATTTCAGTTCGGTATTTCGGTATTCGGTTTATCAATTGTGTATACCAAATACCGTACCAAATTAATTCGGTATGGTTCGGTATTTCTTATTTTGGTTCGGTACGGTTTCGATACGGTTTTGGTTTGATACATATTCATGTGTCACGTACTGCTAAGTGCTAAGAGCGTTAGCAAGCAGAAATAAAATTTCAGTGCATTCCTAATTAAGGAAAATCTTTCCTTTCATTTCTTATTGAAAGGAAATAGAATCCAGAGGCATCAACATTCAGCACCACTAATAAGTAATATCTTTTCTTTGAAAATTAAAATGATAATGACTAAATTTAATACTAATATGAAACAAAAGATTCTGACTAAAAGGAAAATCTTTCCTAAATGAATCAAATCCATAGGCATCATCAGTCAGCACCATTAAAACCAAATATGGACTGCAAAATCATACTGAGCTCTGAGCAGCAGCTCAACCAGCAGCAAAATTTTTATTTTAAATTTATNAACCAGCAATAGAATTTTTAATTCAGATTTGCACTTTATACAGATGCAACAAAAACATAGATGCATCATGCAAAAATTACTAACGAGTAGCAGCAGCATTAAACACAATGCAACAAAAATAGAGACAATTCAAGTTTACACCAATAAGTAATAACAACTAAAGTGTCACGCTCACAGTAGCAATAACATTATGCAAAGTTTGCAAACCTACTGGTTACTGCCATTCTGCCAAACATAAAGTTGTAAGTTTAACTAATAAGCAGTGCAGCAACAACATCAACATCAACATAAAATGATAAGAACACTGGCCCATAACATAAATCTAAGTGTCTAACACATTAAGCTTAAATAAGTTTAACAAATTCTCAAAAATCAAAATAACATAAATAGTCTCGACTCTCGAATCAACTTTAGGAGCACGGGGCATTATTGAACTTGAACCTAAAAAAAGAAGATAAAATCATAAGTTAGAATATTATTTTTTGATGATAAAAGAAAAAAACTATAAAAGTATATCACCAAACAAATAGAATATTAAATTCACCACTGCAACTATACGCCAAAGTGATCAAACAATGGTAGTAGTACTTCCATTATCTTCCATATCTAAAGATAATTCGACCAAATACATATGTCATACAAATAGATAAGTGTAAATAAATAACTGAGTTTAGTATCACAATGCCTAAGGAAAATAGACCCAGTGAAAACTACAATAGCTACGATAAAATAGTCCCTTAAATCTGTTTGTGTACACCCAAACTACTGAAAAGCTGAATAACAAGTTGCAGATAGCAAATAAGTTAGTTCTTTCCCTCTTAATTTCGCCCAGGCCAAGTGGTAAAATGTATTTTGTAAATGGCGTCCAACTACCCATATGTCTCTACGACTTAACTATAAACTAGACACCATAATGTTACTTCTGTACTTACTATATTATCTTTGAGTCAATTGTTCAACGTACTAACTTAATGAAGATTGAATAATGAAAAATGAAGAAGTTGTGAACCTGTTGAAGAGTTGAAGATTGAAGGTTAAAAATGAGGAAACAAGCAGTCACACTTGAGAGTCATCGGCGCCGAGGTCGTTAAGTCGCTGTGACACCGTCTCTATCGCAGTCGCAACACTCGCAGCCACAAGCTCATAGCCGATCTGTTCTTCACTTATTGAGAAACCTAATTCTAATTCCAATCCTTAGAAATAAGGGAAAAAGACTAAGAGAGTAATGGACTGGGCTTAGTCTTGAGTTGTTGGACTAGAAATAAACTTAAAATTTTGGGTTGGGCTAGGGCAGTGTAGGACAAGGAATTAGGAATTAGGAAGCACATGGAATACTTTATAAATTCGGTATTTCGGTATACCGAAATATCAAAATCTTAATACCGAGGACCGTACCGTTATACCAAAATACCGAAAATTTAATACCGAATTATACCGAAATACCAAAAAAACCGAAACCGAAATATCGAATTAATTCGGTCCGGTTTGGAATTCAATTTTTCGGATTTTATGCCCACCCCTAATACTAATACATGCTGAAGTTATTTATCCTGCAGTCTACAGTTTTATCATGAGTTATATCCGAAACTTTAATCTAAACATGCTGAAGATTTTTAGTTCATTTGCTAAAACATCAGACTAAACATACTTAAGTTTTTGTCCTGCAGTATATAATTTTCTAATGAGTTTTAGCTAATGCATACTGAAATTATTTAGTTCATTTGCTAAAACTTCATATCAAAATATATTGAAGTTTTGTCCTGCAGTCTACAGTTTTCTCATGAGTTTTATCCGAAACTTCAGTCTAAACAAGCTGAAGTTTTTTAGTTCATTTGCTAAAACTTCAGACTAAACATGCTTAAGTTTTTGTCTTGCAGTATGTAATTTTCTAATGAGGTTTTGCTAATGCATGCTGAAGTTATTTAGTTCATTTGCTAAAACTTCATACCAAAACATGCTGAAGTTTTGTCCTGCAGTCTACAGTTTTGTCATGAATTTTATCCGAAACTTCAATCTAAACAAGCTGAAGATTTTTAGTTCATTTGCTAAAATTTCAGACTAAACATGCTTAAGTTTTTGTCTTGTAGCATATAATATTTTAATGTATTTTTGCTAATGCATGCTGAAGTTATTTAGTTCATTTGCTAAAATTTCATACCAAAACATGCTGAAGTTTTGTCCTGCAGTCTAAAGTTTTGTCATGAATTTTATCCGAAACTTCAATCTAAACAAGCTGAAGATTTTTAGTTCATTTGCTAAAATTTCATACCAAAACATGCTGAAGTTTTGTCATGCAGTCTATAGTTTTATCAATAGTCTTTTATTAAAGAAGGGCAAAATCGTCTTTTTAAAATGCTTTTAACAAAAAAACTGGTACGGATGCAAACGAAAAAATAAAATGGGTGCAAGTTAAAAAGGGGCGACCAAATAGGGCACCCCATGCAATTTTTACAACGTTTTTAGTAATTGAAAATGGCGCAGCCCATAAGAGAGGTGCACACTCTCAGAAATTGAAATTGGCGCAGCCCATAAGAGAGTTGTCTGCTTTTAGTACACGAATTTATCTAAAAAATAGATGGTATTTTGGCATGGTGTGACAACGTACCCACATAATTAGCAGAGAATAGTCATAGTTATAGATATTGGCATCAAATAGCCAATAAATATATATCACAACAATAATGTGTACATCACAACTTTTTCTTCCTTGTGCATCTCAATATGTATATTAAAATTTTATTTTTATTTTTTGTATATCTAAAATATGAAATCATATATATATAGTTATTTAACATTTATTGTTACCTTTTTATCGATGTATATCACAATAAAAATAATTATATTATTTGTATATGCGGTGAATGACAAACCGAATGTATATCAAAATATATATATCAAAAATTTATTTTTTTGTCTATGTATATCAAAATTTTATTTACTCCTATAATTATATTAATTATTTTTATATTTTAAAACTTTCTCTAAACTTGTTATATCAAAAAATGAATTTCATTCTCTTAAAATTAGTTAGGGCGATTTGATTCCGATTTAACCTTTTTTTTGGCCTTATCTAACAATGTATATCATGATATGCAACATGATATACACAAGGGTACACATAATTATATACATAGATATACACCACCTCAAACACATATATTTTCTTTTTAAGAAGAAGAAGAAGAAAATTGGAGTCTGCCAAAGAGATACAAATCAAATCAAACAAAGCAACAATCGGATGAAGACAAGAAGAAAACTAGATAAAAAATAAATCTTTTTATAGAATTGACGTCGTGATGAGAAGATCTAAACTTCATAGAAAATATATTCAACCATTACAACTTCCCAAACATTATCAAAGAACAAATGCCCTTCCAAATCCAGATTGAAGAAGAAAATTGCTAGATTGAAGAAGAAGAAGAAAAAAAGAAAAGATTGAAGAATAATATTGGAGAAGAAATACGGGGAGAGAGAAGAAAAAAATACACGGAGAGATAATAAATAAGAAATTAGGGTTATTTAGGATTTGGCTATATAATGTCAGTTTTTTGGGGTTACCTTTTCTAAACCTAATATAAGGCTAAAATATTGTCAATTATCTTTATGTGTTGTCATACCATGCCATTTTCTCAAATTAGAATTTATGTAAAAGTTAGCTGGGTTAGTTACTTTTTGGGCCGGTTACTAGAGTTTAGCCACCTTGTTTTTTCAAATGCATTAGTAAAGTAGCCATTAGTTCAACTAAATTGACGTTTTTGCCCCCAACTAAAATACAGAATACAACTCCACCAATCTATACAGAGTTTAAAGCTTTGACAAGTAAAAATCCAGTAAACTATATTGGATTCAATAATTTGTTGAATTTTTAGACCCATAAATAATTCCTCAGTTTTGAACCTTTAATAATGCAAAATTCAGGAATAATTTTTTATTTTTGACATTTTATTAGTGCAAAATTCATGAACAATTCCTGATTTTTGAATTCATATTGTACCTCAACAATTTTGAACCTTTACTAGTATAAAATTCAGGAATGATTCCTGACTTTTGAACCTCTAGTACGGCAAAATTCAAGAACATATCCTATAGTTTGAGTTTACTTGTTCCGTCTTCTCCTTTTCCGGTTACTGACTCACTGTACCTTTCCCATCCTAACTTTCTCAGTAAGCTAAGTCATTGAGATAGTACATATTATACTTGTTTAACGGGCCGGGTTGAGCCGTTTCCTGACCGGCCCAGATCGATTGTAACCCGAACCGGTCATGACTGGTAGTTAAGGGGCTGGGTGGGCTGGGTTAGGGGGGTTGGTCTGTTTAAAAAAAATTCCGGTTAACCGGACCGGTCAAACTCGGTCAATAAAAATTACTATTGAATCGGTTAACCGGCCCGACCCGAGCCGGTTCAACGGCTATAAATCTGAATTATCTTTTTAAGTGATGTGACCGTTGGCAACGGTCAGCTTCAATTTGGTCGTTGCCCAACGGGTTGATTGCAAAAATAGCCCTTGTTTGGGCAATATTTTTTTAAAAATAACTCTTTTAGTAATTACTAATTTAGCCCTTTGAAAAACTATAAATACACCCCCTCTTCTTCATTTCTTCATTTCTTCACTCATCTCTCATTTCTCAAACTCATATTCTCAATTATCATTCTCTCATTCTTCACCTAAAGTGCAATCAACTATTTGGCTCTTATTTTTTTTGGAAATTAATTTATCGTATTATTTATTATTTGAAGTTTGAACAATTGAACTTCAAACTTTGAACAATTGACGTTTCTTTGTGGCAACATTGGAGTTGCGAAATTATCAAGTGTTCAATTTACTACCGAATTCGGTGCACTCCTTCCAACTCTTTTTCTTATTTACTATTTTATTTACATATTTAATTTTTGCTAGTAGTTAAATTTTTACAATATGGTTAATGCTGCAAAAAGAGTTTGTAATAAGGTTGCTAATCAGGGTAATCGGGAAAATAGAAAAAGATGTACTACTTCAACATCTGGTAGTAATTTAAATGACTCAGCACATGTTTCTAAAACTGTCACGACCCAAAATCCAACTAGTCGTGATGACACCTAACCCAACCCGTTAGGTAAACCAACTATCCACTATCCAATTCCAATGTAATTTAACAAGACAATTAAGTAAAAGAAAATATCTAAATATTATACATTCCCCAAGGACTGGTAGTACAAATCATGGGCTTCTAAAAATAGAGTTTACAAAGATGGTATGAAATAATACATCATCTGTTCGAAAGGTACATGAACATATTGTTATAAATCTAAGGCTATCATGAACAAGAGGCAGCTACAACCGGAACGCAGGTACATCTTTAGATCCAACTCCCAACGAACACAGCAACATCAACATCCAATATCTGCACGCAAGGTGCAGAAGTGTAGTATGAGTACAACCGACCCCATGTACTCAATAAGTAACAAACCTAACCTTAGGTTGAAAGTAGTGACGAGCTGGAACACAAGTCGGGGTCCAACACCAATAGCCAACAATATTTCATAACAATATAATTTAAAGCAGCACAAGTAATAATTCAACAATAACATGCTCAACTTAATCATGATTTCTGAAAATAGCTCTGTTTTTCAAGTATATAAGTGAAAACTGAAGTCTTTTACCGAAGTTGCCAAAAATATGAGTAAGCTTTAAAACAGTAATGTTTCCAAAATTCCTTTCAACAATAAATAAAATGTTTCATTTTCTTTCCACATAGCCAGTGAAAAATGCATCAATATGCCCATATGCCAATATCTGTGAGAAGAAAATGCATCTCTATGTATGTATTCAAGTGTGCATGTCAATGCGATGCAACTCAGTGTTAAACCATATGCATACTCTCAGAGTATCATTTCACTCAATCCTCCCAGTCACTCAGTCCTAACAGTCACTCAGTCCTCACAGTCTCTCAATCCTCCCAATCGCTCGGCACTCGACACTCATACTTAGTAGGTACCTGCGCTCTCTGGGGGTGTGTACAGACTCCGTAGGGGCTCCTTCATCCCAAGCGCTATAATTTGTACGGATAACTCACGTGCTGCACGGACAACTCACGTGCTATAATAAAGCCTATAAGGCCTGCTGCAGGCGGGCAACCGTGATCCACATAATAATAAAGTATATAAAGCCAATATGG